GGAGGAGTAGCGGAACGAGCCGAGGTACGCGCCCGACAGTGAAACGCCGTGGACGCTATACTTCGAGCGCCGCCGCAAGGAGCAGATCGCCTCCGTCAACGGCGTTATCCCCCGCGGCCGCCTCAACTCCGAAGGACGGCGCGAGTGGTGGGGTGTCCCCGGCCGCACGCTCGACGCCGTCCTCGATCACATCGAGACCGGCAATGTGCCGCGGCTGGAGTACCCGACGCGGCCCTCCTTCTCTCGCCGCCGCGGCAGTTCCTGGATCCCGCGACGAATGGAGCCGGGGTCGTCCTCGTCGCCGGGCTCCGGCTCACCTGCCCTCCGCCCCGTCAAGCCCGAGCCGGAGGGGACACCTCTCAGGCGTCGCGTTCGCAGCGGCGCCCTCGTCATCAACGAGCCCTCGTCGGCGATAGCACCGATCCCTCCGCCTGGTCCGGCCGAAGCCCGAGCCGGACGTGCTCCCCGTGAAGCCGGAGCACGCCGCCATGGTGGCCCCCGACGACGAGTCCGCCCTGAAATCGGGGCGAGGCCGGGCCCTGAAATGGGGTGCGGCGTTATCGTTATCAACAACGACGATGAGGGCTAGGCCGGGCCGTCAAGCGTTGTCGGCGACCCTGGCGAGGGTTGCAGCAGGGACCCCGGCGAGGGCTGCAGCAGGGCGCGCGGCGACGACGGCGACGGTGGCAACTACACCCGCTTCTACAGGCTTCTCGGCATGTAGACGGCGCGGGGGCGACGGCGGCGGCAGCGGCTAGGCTTTTTTAGTTCGTTTTTAGATTATTTAGGCGTAGTTCATGCATGTTTCTAAGTTTTTATACAAATTTGAACGAAATATGGCCGAGTTCGTGCAAAAGTCGACGAGTTTGCAAAAAAATGAAACGTACTTCGCCGAACCCGAGGCGGCCGTGGGCGCGTAGCTGGGAGCGAACCGAGCACCAGGGGCCGATCTAGCGCCGGCTTGCCCACATGCCGCTATTTTTCGACGCCTGAAGGGCCGAACGGCTGGAGATGCTCTTGGCACAAGGACGCACGAGACAGTGAGGAGACGTATGGCCGTGCCCCTGCTCGGCCGCTGGGATTCTGCCACCCCGGCCGGTCCCGGTCAGGACGGCGGCCATGGTAGGCTGCCATGCCATGCCACCGGCCTGTGAAGGTGTTAGCTCACCTCACACAGATTAAAGGCGGAGGCAGGGACACATGCATGACCGATGCTGCAGGCTCTGAACAGAACCATGGATGTGCCATGTGTAGACGAGCATGTTGCTCCGACGCTACTGTTTG